GAAGCTACCTGAAATCACGCTCCACGGAGCAACCTTCTCAAGTGTGTGCGAGTGAGAGTGGGAGAGTGAGTGAGTGAGTGCGAGTGTGAGTGAGAGTGAGTGGGTGAGAGTGAGTGTGAGGGAGAGTGAGAGCGGCTGTGGGTATGAGTGAGACTGATGGGTGAGTGAGTGTGAGAGTAGTGAGAGTGAGAGTGAGAGTGAGTGCAAGTGTGAGGAGTGTGGCTGCGAGTAGGATTGGGAGGGTGAGTGTGAGTGCGTGTGAGTGAGAGTGGGAGCGGGAGTGTTAGGGAGTGTGAGTGTGAGTGAAAGTGGGAGAGTGAGAGAGTGCAAAGATCTGCACTTCGAAGTTCACCAAGCGCTGTGCCTGCCACGAAATCTACACTTCGAGGTTCACCATGCGCTTTGCCTGCCACGAAATCTGCACTTCGAGGTTCACAAAGTGCTGTGCCTGCCACGAAATCTGCACTTCGAGGTTCGCCAAGTGCTGCACTTGCCACGAAATCTGCACTTCGAGGTTCACAAAGTGCTGTACCTGTCACGAAATCTGCACTTCGGGGTTCACAAAGTGCTGCACCTGCCACGAAATCTGCACTTCGAGGTTCACAAAGTGCTGTACCTGCCACGAAATCTGCACTTCGAGGTTCACAACGTGCTGTACCTGTCAGGAAATCTGCACTTCGAGGTCCACCAGCCACGAAATCTGCACTTCGAGGTTCACCAAGTGCTGCGCCTGCCACGAAATCTGCACTTCGAGGTTCACAAAGTGCTGTACCTGTCACGAAATCTGCACTTCGAGGTTCACAAAGTGCTGCACCTGCCACGAAATCTGCACATCGAGGGTCGCAGAGTGCTTTGCCACGAAATCTGCAAACGAGCCACATGTCCAAAAGTCACGATTCACTGCACCTGTCACGAAATCTGAGCTCCTCGACGATCACCACCATGTCCAAAGTGCTGCACCTGCCACGAAAACTGCATTTCGAAGCAAAACACCTCCGATCCCTTGCACCGTCACGAAAAGTCGACTTTGGAGCACCAAAGCACGAGGTTTCCCTTGCGCCTGCCACGAAAAGTGACCACTATGTGCGAAAATGTGCACGGCACCACAACGAGAGCGCTGTCGCGACAAGCGCACGCTCCAGCCACCCAGATTCTGCGAGCCTGCGCAGTCGAAGTGCACATGGACGATGTCGAGAGGCATGAATGTACTGTAAATAGCCACGAATTAGCCGGTCACGCCCGCGCGCCTCAGCGATCTAAGCACACCTTCTTTTCTATTACCATAAGAACCCCTAGTGTGTCCACACTGTTTGGCGAAAAACAATCTCTTGGGCAACTTTTGCCCAAGATTTTCAAAAATCAGTTTCAACCTTCATATGTCCCCACACTTCTCTATAACATCAAAAT